TTCCAGTTTTTTCTGACATCACAATGTGCATTTTTTAATGTCGGTCGGAATAGGATCGATTCACATTTAGAGGTGTTCATTTTAAGTTTCCATGTGTGGAAGTAGCTATTGATTTTTTCGAAGAGCATCTGGAGTGAGGTATTTATAACTGTTGATTTATTGCCGGTGACATAAACTAGGAGATCGTCGGCAAACGCTATGGCTTTCTTGTCTTCGTCTACGTTTAGTCCGTATAGGGATAATAGTGTAATGGTATAGAGGTTAAATAAAAGAGGTGAATTTACTGTGCCTTGTTGTAGGCCGTTTGAAATATTGTAAGAAAGCGATGATAGTTCAGAGCCGTTTGATACCCGAAACGATCTTCTATGAACCATATTCCAGATCGTTTTGATAAGGTGATGGGGAAAATGATAAGAAAGAAGTTTGAAAAATAGGCCGTCGAGCCATACTGTATCAAAAGCTTTTTCTAGGACGATAAAACAAGCGCCAACGCATTTTCCGGCATTAAGTTCTCTACAGATATCAGATGTAAATTTGTTAATGGCATGCAGTGTTGAATGTTTGTGACGAAAACCAAATTGCTGGTCAGGTAAAATGTTATTTGCTTTACAGATTTTGAGGATTGCCTGATTTATTATCACCTCGTAAATTTTACTTATATTAGGTAGCAGGCTTATGGGTCTATAGCTTGAGGGATTAGAGCTGTCTTTGTCTTTCTTTTTTAGAGCTACAACTTTAGCACTTTTCCATTGAGAGGGAAAATACGAGATATTGAGTGCATTGTTAAATAGTATTGTGTAAAGGTATATAATGTTAGAGGGGAGGTTTTCTAAAATGATGTTGGGTATTCCATCGAAACTGGAAGATTTTTTATTATTTAGTTTCCTGAAGATCTTTTGGAGTTCTGGAAAAGAGGTAAAGTAATCTGGGAATTGCTCGTTTGGAGGATAGGTGGAGGGAGTATTTTTAGAAAATTTTATTAAGGAAAGGTTGGATTGCTCTTCGAAGTTTATTTTGGTCTTGAGTTCATTGATTTTTTTGTTCACTAACCTTATATGAGCATCTTTACCCATGTTAGTGTTTTGATTATTAGCTGCCTCGAAATGAGCACCAAATAGATTTAGTTTGTCACAGGGGGACGTGATGATGCAATTATTGTTATTGTCTTTATAAAGAGAGTTTATGTCTAGGCCCGCTGAGTTTAGTATGTGAATCTTATCTGTAGGTACTTTTAAATTGTCAATGGAGGAAGTGGTTTTCTTTCTGAATAATCTGTTAATTTGAGGGAGCGATTTAACTGGGTCGTTCGGTGGTATGCTTCTAATTTTTTTTTCCCAATAGATGCTAGACGCTTTCTGGAATTCATCGTTTATTTTATCTTTGAGCTCTTTCAATGTATATTTGTATGAGATGATTAATGAGTTGTTTGATTTTATGCCTAGTTTACGAAGTCTATGTATGTGTGAAGATATGTAATTTTTATGTTTTTGTAATTTTTTGATACGGTCGTTTACGATTCTATCCGTCGCGTTTTTGGGGATAATTTTTGGAGTAGATTTGTTAATTGCGTTAGTGATAGCTGTATTTAGGTTTATAAGTCCTTTATCTATTTCTTCGGTAGAGAGGTTTCTGTCTGTTGGTAATTCCGAGGTATTGTAAGAGTTGAGTATTTTGTGAAAGCAATTCCAATTAGTTTTTGCATAATTTAGACTGTGTTGTGTTTCTTCCGTTTCGATATGTACGAGAGAATCGATGGTGATATTAAACTTAATTGCGTTATGGTCACTTTCAAAAGGTAGGGTGATGAGGTTATTATTCGTCAAATTTACGAAATTGATGCGATTGTCTGCTAAGCATATGTCAAGATAAGATTCACTCGCAGGATAAGATGCAAGGTCGGGACCTAGTATGTTTATTCTGAATTTTATTTCATTGTCTTTCTGCCATATGTGAAGAGCCCGACCTCTGGGGTTTCCCTTCTCGTTTTTCCAGTCTTTATGTTTGGCATTAAGATCTCCAGCTATGATATAAAAATTGTTAGGGTCGTCAAGGTTAAGTTCATTGAATAAGGCTCATAATTCTTCGATGAATTCTTTTTTACAGTTTCCTGCAGAGTAAACCGAGAGAATAAACAGTTTTTTGTCGCTGGAAATGTTAATTTTTATTGCCGTGCTTTCAATGCATAAGGCATTTGTTAGACATTTGGGAAAAACCCTGGTGTGTTTAAAATAATTTTTTATGAGTATAGCTGTACCTCCCCCTTGGGTAGAGTTGAGTCTGTCTGTTCTGAGTGTTTCGTAGTTATTGAAAAAAGGATTATATTTTTGAGATAATTTTGTTTCACCAAGAAGTACAAAATCTGGATTTTCGTGATTTATGAGTTGTGTTAAGTTGTAACGTTTATTGTGAGAAATAAGAGAGTTTATATTTAGTGCAATGAAGGACAGTTCGCTCGTGGGTTTATGACTCTTTGTTAAGGGATTAGACATTATTGGATTGTGTATGGGTAAGAAGGTTGTAAAGGTCGTCTACTCGACCTATTGTGGCTGATACTGCATCGGCGAGGGTTTTTAACTGTAGGCATATGTTGGAAAGGTCCGGGTTTGGTACCTGGGAACGTTGATTATTGTAATTGTGTATAGGTATTTGGTTCTGAGGTGTTTAGGTATGGTAAGTGTTTTGGTGGTCATTTGGAGTTTTTTCTCATAATGTCTCTGAAAGAAACAGCAGGATTAATTAGTTTATTGATGCTAGCTAACTTCCTTTCTCTTTCTTCTTTCTGTCTTTGTTGCAATTTTTTAACGTTATCTTTAAATGCTTTGAATTTGATGCACCCTCTGTAAGATGCCGGGTGACCAAATTCATTGCATAATACGCACTTAAGGTTGCTCTTAATATCTATTGGCGAGTTCTCGTTCATTAATGATTCTGACTTCAATTTATCAATTGGGCACTCGTTTAAGTTATGCGTTCCTGCGCATTTGACGCATTTGAATGTGCGATTGCAATTTTTAGATGTGTGATCCAAACCTTGACAGTTAAAACACTGTACTATGTCTGGATTTCTGTATTTGTCCCAATGGATAATTTGATAATCAAAGTTATTAATTTTTTCAAGATTTTTCACAATATTATCTGCCGATAAATGGACCGCGAAAATTGGCAATGTTTTATTTTCGAGAATTGATTTTTTGGTTTTAAATTGACGTACTTTTAAAAATTGAATTCCTTCGACTTTTAAGTTAATTAGGTCCTTGAGGATATCTTCAGGAATGTAGTTACCCTCAAGTCCTCTTAATAAGAATACTTGCTCTTTCTCCTCTTTGAGGGTGTTTGTATAGAAATCTACTTTTTCTGCTTGAAGAGCAGATTTTATTGTTTTAAAATCTTTTACATTGTTGGCAGTTATTGTGTGTTTATTGTATTTTAACATTTTTGTTGAGAAATTACTATCTAAATTAAGTTTCTTCAAAATATTAACAGTAGTTTGGCACTGTTGACCGAATACCTTGATTGGTGGTGGCTTACTTGGTCTGACATCAGATGTTATGGTTTTATTGTCCTTGGCAGTGGGAGAATTTACAGATGCTTCGCTGGGGGTATGCGTACCTGGTGAGGTTATTGACTGGATCGGTGAATCCGTGGGTGATCCTTTTAATTTTTTTGGAGGTGATGAGGGAGAGAGGCTCTCTTCTGTGTCTGGATTTTGAGCTTTTGATGAGATATTTCTACTATGGAGTTGATTCTGTAGTGAAGTAATCATCTTGTGTTGTTGGTTGTTCTGCTTTGTGAGGTTTTCAATGACTTTGTTGAGCTCAACTATGGTGGACTCCAAGCTCTTTAGTTGCTTGGTAATTCTGTCCTCTGATGACTCCGTTATTTCCATGTCTATTGAATTTGTAGGGTCTGTGTTTACTGAATTTGATGTATTCTTAACTATTGGAGGTGAGGTTTCCTCTTTTAGATTCGCTTTCCTCTTCATAGAGGAATTTTTCATTATCCGGTTTGTTGACTTTCTTACAGGAGCACTTATAGTAATTTTATTGTTTTTAAGTTTATGAAGCACAATTTTTCGCGATAGATTATTGATATCATCTGTAGAGATAGGATTGTTTTTCGCTTTTTCCACTAATTTTTTGATTTCACAGTTTAATGTTGTGTTATTAAAAGTTGGAGACACTGCACTGATTTCATCGGTTGATGGATTGACACTAATCACTTTGGGAGAAGCCTCCTGCGTTAATGACTCGTTTGTCATTGACCGGCTGACTTCTCCTTGATATAAATTAGGTTAATTAACTATATAACTTCACTGATATAACTGGTAATTTTATTTAAATTGAAAATGAATAATACTGAGTATTTGACCATTTCGGAATTGTGACAAATTACTAGGTATAGGCCCTATTGTGTAGGAGGGACACTTCCGAGCTTAGGTCCTTACAGGTCAGTGACCAAAGTAAAAGTGCTACTCTACCATTTGAGCTATCCGGTCTATACTAAATTTCCTTTCACTTATTCTATATACATTAAGCCACACCGTCCATCTTACGGTTAGCATTTTTAACAAATATAAATAATGCTGTGAAGCGGGAAAGAATAGGAGTTACGGATAATTATTACGTGAAGCGTTCCAACATTCACGTAACAGGATATTTTGGTAGGAAAGGATTGAGAAAGGATTGTGGAGTGGATCATCTTAATGTGAGTGTATAGAATATGCGAGAAAAAAAAATTATTAGATAGCTCGGACTATTTTTTTGTTGTTGGTTTCTCATGGGACCCAGTCCGGAGTAGAGGATCCCGAGGAAGATCAACATTCACGTCGTAGACATACACTGATTTGTAATTTTACATATCATTTGTTTTGTAATATGATTGTAATTTTACAAAAATTTTTAACAGTGTACAAGTATAATCTTTTCATTCATTCATATAATATATTTAATCTTACAAACATTGATTCTTCATTTTAGGACGAAAAAGAAAGAATAGAAGAAATGGGTGGTCTTGTATTACATTACGGCATGTGGAGGGTCAACGGTGATCTTGCTGTATCCCGAGCAATAGGTAAAACACATGCAATCATATTCCATCTCTTTTATTAAATAATGATTTCTAACTTACAGTGAAACCTCCCTATACTTGACACGTCGGGCCAGGATCATTTCCTATAATCGATATCTGCCTCCATCTCCGCTATTTCGAAATTTTATTCCCCTATGCGCAATCAGATGCATACTGGGCAGAAACTCTTTACAAAATTTCAAAATATTTACCCCTTGATTAAATGATAGGCTTTAAAAAAATCGCGGTGCGAAACTGGATTTTAAAGAATACGGATATTATCATATCAATTAGAGAGAGCGAGCATGTATCCGGAGGGCAAGTATAGAGAGATTTCACTGTATGTTATTGTATTAAAATAGTATATTGTGTGACTAGGGATGAAACAATATGATTTCAGACCAGAGTGAAGTTGCCTGCCCGAGCGAAGCGAGGGCTGGCATCACTCGGTCTGAAATCGTGTTTCATCCCGCGTCACACATTATATTTTTCGTATAAGTTGCATTAAAAATGCTAGTTGCAATGTCTGGAGCCAACTAGAACTAGATAGTTTCAGACGAATAGCGAAAATACCATTTTATTATAAAACTTAAAATAAAATAGAAAGTAAAAGTTTATTTTTTATCAAACATTATTCGTAAATTGAATAGTTTTCTTTTGTCATTCTTATTTATGCTTAATAACAGAATTATAATATGTCAGTACAGTTAACGGTTAGAATGACAATTATAAAGGTATAAAATAAACAAACAATTGATAGGATTGAAAATAAAGCTGCAACTTCATCTCGCGGGCAGTAATTCGTCATTTTCTGTCCGCCGGGAAGAAATGATTGATTCCTGCCCGGCACAGTCGCATTGGTCTGAAATTGTTTAGTTTCGGTTGACTCAACAGGCATTGAAACTCGCATTTTCAATGCAGGTTATATGAAAACATATTTTTATTGAAACGATTTTAGGTAGATTTTGTAGAAATCTATCTATTGCATTGGTCTTTGTGTCGGAATTAACGCAAAATTTTGTTATTTTATCTCTTATTTTCGAGTCGAGTAAAGCTCAAAATTAGCATTGGTTCCAAAGTTTATATATTTATGCATATATATATCTTCAACGAGTTCGAATATGAGCAAAATCGATCAATTAGTTTAGAAATCACGTTTTTGGTCACTTCATTGATGTATAACTTTTGATTGAAAAGAGATAGCTAACTTTTGAAAAATTCATGTGATAGCTCATAAAATTGCCTTTAATTTGACGCATATAACATTGACATTTTGACGATTTTTAGTTATTTTATCAAAGTTAAGAGTGCCATTTTCAGGCAATGTGTAGTACAACCGACTTATGTATGTTATTTTATCAAGAATTTCATTTTGTGAAATCTACCGTCCATTTCGGGTGTGGCCGAATGGCGTTTTTTTGTTACGTATTAGTATGATTTATAATGTTTCTAAATTTTATTATAATAGATTGTTCAGAATATCTTTAAACAATAAAAATTTGAACTGGTTTGATTTAATCCTATTGATCTTTATAAATAAAAATATAAGTGTTCGTTTCTCGAAAATCTCCTAAAGTTCTTTCTCGATTAAGTTTAAATTTTCCAGAATTACGCACTTTTAAAAAATTACAGAACGTATACTCGAATACAAGTATGTTTTTATCATATCTATTTACACTTTTTTATGAATTTCCTAACAATGAGATTTCTCGAACAAGTCAATCTACTTCGATGCGGTTCGCACTATTCAAGAAAGTTTTTTGAAAGATAGAACTAAATAGATTTTTTGAGCGATCAGTACCACAGTGAAAATAATTTCAAACATATCTTTTTTTTTTTTTTCATTTTTTTAATTTCTCGAACTTTAGGCTGAGTCTATTATGCATAGTCATAAAAAATTCAAGGGCATAGTGAAACCGTCTCAAATGCCATGAACCGCGTTCTGACAGATCCAACCGAGCAAAAATAATCAAAGACTTATTCATACATACACAATTTACACAAAAAAAACACAATACAAGCTAATAAAATTTAGTATTGAGTCGGATCTCGTGGTAGTACGTCGTAGGCTTGTAAGTTAGGTCCTAATAAAAATTCAGAATGTATCAGTAAAATTTGAATTGATAGCAGTTCTTCAATTTGCTTAGAATAGTCGATACACTACACAAAGAATAATGTACTTAGAATTCTTGAAATTTTTAGTTTCTTTTTTTTTCAGGTGATCCTAAATATAAACCATATGTTACTAGTGAACCGGAAATGTATTCTGGAGATCTAGATGGAACTGAAGATTTTCTCATTATTGCTTGTGATGGTCTTTGGGATTACGTTAATGAAGTAACAGCTGCCAAGCTTGTGTATGAACAAATTTCTCGAGATTGTCGTAAGTTAATTTTCTATCTATACCAGATGTTATACTCGGTTTTACCTGGGTGACATTCTTTTTTTTATCGAAAATAATTCAATATAAAGTATACTGGAAAAAAAGTTTTTTACGATTCACTATCCGTTGTATCGTGAACGGCATATCGCTATAATCAGGGAACGGATCCTGACGGTCGCGATCTAACCTCGAAGCGTAAGTTCCTAACCTTATTTGTCATTGTTTATCGACAATTATTAAGTGCATGGTGATTATTATCGTAATTATTATTACTGGATAAAATATTTAAAACTTGGCTTCGATCATATAAATCATTATTTGAAACATCAATAATAAATTATGCAAAGTCAGTTTCACCGTCACCGCTAGGTATAGTCAATAGATCGCTAAATTAGCAAAACGGATAGTGACCATAGCGATCCAGTGTTTCGTAACGTGCGTATGGTGATAGTAGCAATACTGTATCCTGAAGCGTAGAAAACTTTTTTTTCAGTGTATTGTTTCTTGAATGTACACAGTAAAAATTTTGCGTCAAAATTTCGTGTTAAATATTTAGTGTTAAAAGTTACCACTTTTATGTGTAAATTTAACATTGATTCTTTTAAATCAACACAAAAAAGGGTTAAATATTTAACATAAAAATTTGTAATACAATTTTTTGACACAATGACGCAAAATTTTTTACTGTGCACAAATTTTTTTGTATTTATCATCAAATAAATTTTTACTCATCTTTTTATAAAATGTTCCTTCTAATTCTAAAAGGACGGTCAGTTAAAGGCATATCTAAAAAAATGTAAATTCATTTACTTATAATATAAAATCAAAAGTAAATTTCAAAAATCAAGTGGCATCCCTCTAGAATGATACAATTAATAAGAACTTAACATAACTCATGTGAATTATAGGAATTCAAGTATTTAAACTTTACAATTCGCTCCGTGGGCAACTTATACACTTACCTTTTCTATGAGTGTGTTTAGTGTCGATAAGTTGTCCCAATCAAAAGTTATTTTAGGGAGAAGTAGGGACAATGTGATTTTTTTTAAGTTTGGAAATTTGCTATTATTTCTAAAATTAATGTCCCATTTAGCTCATTTTCGAACTTGATCTTTGTAATCGTTCAAAGTTTAATTGAGTTATTGAGTTCCATTAAAATAAGTTACAGATTGTAGACGCAATCGTTGTCACAAGCCGCGTTATATCGTATAAATATATACATATATGAATGTATACATATACATAAACTTTTGAACTAATGGTATTTTCTGAACGAGCTCGATGAGCTTAGTCAGGAAATAACAAAATTTTTCAAAAGTTGGGACATGACGACATCTGTAATGATTAGATTTCTATAAAATCTGCTAATAAACAATATCATGATTTTATGGTCTTATGTTTCACAATCTGCAATTATACTCTTTTGACTGATTTTTTTCTCCCATTTTTTGATATTTTCTGCGTGTCCAGATTTGATTTTTTCTCAAACGTTTTTAAAATATATTTAAACCTCCTTAAACGCGATAAACTAACATATTCTCATATGAAACTCGAAAAATTAAAATGTCGGTTTTTGTGGACCACACTTATGGGTATGTAAACCTCTCATAACTTTTGATTAGCTTGATCGGTCGAAACTCGTTCAGCAGAATTTTAAAGAATTCCATCCAACTTAGATTTTCTGACATTTGAACTAATTCGATCCAATAAATTGTGATAAATCGCAGTAATAAAATTTTCAAAAAAATGTTTTGGAATAACTTTATTAAACTACTAACTATTACACAGATCAATTCCAAACTCTAACGAACTTTTCTACAGAAAAAAAATAATAAATAAATAAAAAAAATTCGATTGCCACAAACTACACCGAAATCGTTTGAACTGTTCGGAAAGTATCATGAATGAAAAACTTAAAAAAAAAGTGTTTTTTTTAAATTGCATCTAAACTTCTCGTACGATTGTTTTTCTAGCAGCTAGTTTCTCTGTGCTTGAAAAACTGCGCCAAATACGGCAAACTGCATCAAATCGGTTGGTTCGTTCAGGAGATATCAAAATTTCAACTTTTCTGTTATGTTCATGCTCCAAACGCACGAAAATAAATATATTTGAAACTATTTGAGCTTTTCGAGCTCCTTTCATTTTTTAGCTCTTCGAGCTCAAAAATCTAACAGTTATGGAAAAAAATGCTTCATTGAGATTTATTTAACCTTCAATGCCTACCTTTATCTCGGTAATTTGTTCATTCTTAAACACCTTGCTGAAAAGTTTTTAATTTTAAGATTTAGAAAAATTTGCGTCAACGTAGTTATTTTATTATTGATTGAAATGTTACGGCACATTTTAATTATAATATCTATTTCCATCACTCGAGTGGTACGAAAGATTTTATACTAACTTTACCATCTTTCTATACCTCTACGTGTAAAAAATGCAATTTCGAAAATTAATTACTCAAAAACGGTGTGGTAAATTGATCTGAAATTTTGGTGGGGAATTATTAATATATTTATCTTTCGATAAAAAAAATTCATAATTTTGTTGAAATATGCCTTACAGGACCCAACTACCTTAACCCTTTAATGTTCTGGAAGCGCAAAGAATCTCGTTGTGAGCTGTCAGGGGAGAGAGCCAATCATAATCCGTTATGCGGTTGTGTGAGAGACGGTTTGTTGTAGTAGTGTGTCCATGCATCCCTTTCTACTATTTTTCTAGCCCCCTCTCTAGGAAAAAGACTATAGCTCTCTCACTTGAAGAAAAAGATATATGACTCGAATTAAGAGTGGAGATTCAAGGCCAAACATTAAAGGGTTAAGGACATTTTTTGAAGAATTCATAGACTTTTTCCTCTCCGTCCCCATATTATCTATACTTCTATACTAACCCTTTAACGCCGAACTTGGACTAAGTGAGCCGCGTGGCACTGGAGTGGGGAGCGTGTAAAGTAAATGTAGAAGGGGGCGTTTCACCAAGAGTGGGGAAAACGCCCATTAGGCTCAGAGGGTTAATATTATAAAGAGGAAAGATTTGATTGTTTGTTTGTTTGTCTGTTTGTTTGTTTGTTTGCATCGAATAGGCTCCGAAACTACTGAATCGATTTGAAAAATTCTTTCACCGTTGGGAAGCTACACTATCCCCGGGTGACATAGGCTATATAACATCATAATTAATGTTGAAATTTTTGTTAAATAGCCGTGCGAAACCGGGGCGGACTGCCAGTTTTTTATATTTTGAAGCGTAATCAGGAATTCGGCCATAAATATTTTCACATCCATGTCGTTAATAACTTAGTTTTTTTCATTCTTTTTCTTGTTGCTCAAGTCGTACAAAGTGTCATCAGTCATCACCATCACGAAGGAGACTGATCTGCTTGGCAGAGTACTTTAATTTAAGGGCCGTTGACCTTGTTTGGTTATTTCTTTCCCTTTGACAGCTTTTCGAAATAATAATTTGATTGTTCCCTTCCACCGTAAAGACGTGTTTTTAGTATCATTGTTCAACTGGTATACTGGCTTTCAGACTAGACTGGTACCTTCCTTTTTATCGCGCGATAGGTATTCACCGTCCTGGATGAAGTTATACTTTAGCGAGTCTCCATCTTCTTTTGCAGAAATTACTATAGCAACTGGAAAATGGTCCAAAACAAAAGAACATTTCTTCTAATTACCTTCAACAAATATTACTTTGCTTACTGTACATCCGTACACACAGCTATTGGAAATGCAAAAACCCAGCTCTTTGTAAAGGCTATCAAAAGATCGATCTTTGGTGCTAATTTTTAAGTCTTGTGAGTTACTTGCGTGATGCACTTACTTTTTCCTGTTACAGAATAGAAAGCATAATTCCTAGTCAGTTCTGATGTTACCACCTCCCATTAACCCTAGACTGGTCACCCTATGAGCGTGACGCTGCGCTCAATTATATTTTTTTTATTACATCCTCAATATTTACTAAAATTATTCAAAAAAATATGACTTTGTTCCTTGAACATTTTAGAATATATTAATCATTTTTTCAAACATCTTCGAAAACGTTAAATTGCTGAAAAAAAATTTCTTAAAAAAATTTGCGGGGCTTTCATCGTCGCTTAACCAGAGTCGTAAGTAGTTTTTTGTCCGCGGCGTTGCCGAAAACACCTCTAGACTCTGCCTGTCAAACGTGTATGAACTAGCAACACTGTACGCTCTAAAAGCATTGCGGCAAATCCCTCATCACTTTGTAACGGGGAGGTTAACCCTGTTCAATTGTTCACCCCTTTCCTTTTGAAAAGGGCGCCACTGGGATTATTATTCGCGGTGTCCTAGAAACCGGAAGAGCACGAGCAGGAAATCGGGTCGTGAGAAGTTGAGACAAGGCTGTAAATAAATACTGAGGACAATTTTATCCAGTTAATAAAATTTATTAAACAATAAAAATAAACCTTAAGAATTAACAAAATAACAAAACTGTTTTACAGTTAAAATCTTAATACAAAATTGCCAGAAAACGCTCACTCAATCAGGCACTTGCCAAAAAATCTTATAAACTAAATATCATTAAATCCTTTTAACTATAGATCATTACGCATCTATCTTCTTAATTTCTTAACTCAATTATAGACCATTACGCATCTATCTTTAAATTCCTAATTCAATCATAGACCATTACGCATCTATCTTAAATTCCTAATTCAATCATAGACCATTACGTATCTAGATTCTTAATTTCTTAAGCCCTCGTCCATCTGACGGAATAACTAACATAATTTTCCAAATTCCAAAACTCCTTAATTATTCATTTCTCTAAATCACTAATCACTAAATTTCCGATTTTCAATCTTGTCATAATTCACAAATCTTCAGCAAAACTCTTTACATATCATTCGGTTGCACTAAATTTAATCCCTCATAAATTTCTTACTAACTAAACTCATTTCTTAAATCTTCTTAAATAACCTCTTAAACAATTATTCATAAATAAAATTCAATTTCCTGATTAACTAAATTTACTAAATTCACCGAATCTTCTTATCAAATTTCTCTAATAAATTATCCTTAAATTCAATCAATTTCTCAATAAATTCATTTAGCATGTTTCCTAAATTAACAATTCAATCAAATTTAGCCACCGGCCTAAATTTATTTTCCAAAACTTACAATACTATCTTAATCTATTAAATTCAATACCAGGCACTTGTTCAATGCAAAACAAATTTTACTACATTAAATAATCACTAAACTTCTTTACTAGTTCACTTACTAAATCTTCTGCTAATATTTTCAATTAATAACTTTTACTAAATTCACTACAAAATTTACTAAATTTAATCTTTCTAAATAAAATTCTAAATATCACTATTCAAATCCTAAGCGTCTCAATACAAAATTTTACTGCAGATATACTAGAATGACCTTCACTGACTTAATTACACATTTTCATTTCTTATTCAAATTTACTTTTCCTTATATTTCTAAAATTAATTTATTATAGCCAACAGGCCTATAATAAATTACTGATTAAATGATCTACAATAATTCACAAATAATCTATTAATTTCATTCTTATAAAATAGATATCCAGTAACAAAAAACTAGCTAAATGACCTTGACGCATACATTTCTAAAGTACAAAACTTGCTAATATAAAAATGATCAAGAAATTAATTTTAATTATTTCAGCCTCTTAATTAAATTAATAATCAATTCTGGCCTAAAATAATCGAAAATACCTGGAGATTCAATTATTGTTTTACCCAACGACGACTGATACTCTGGTCCAACTTGGCTGGTTCCGCTGCTTGGCGTCTTATCGTCTCAAACCACGATGCTGGCCTCCGGTCAGGGCTTGTCCAATTCCAAATACCATACTAACTTCCTCTGCAGTTGATCTTTATTCTTGACGTCCAAATTTACACTCTCTTGACTGAACTGATCTCAACAAGGTCACTGACTCACAAAAGGCAAAAGGCCACTGGCTTCCAGAAGGGAAAAAGCCCCGATGTTTTTCATGCTCGCTCTTTTATAACCCTCAGCTCAGGTTCTCGAACTTTCCTATTGTTCTGCCCCGCTTCATTTTCGGGGACAGTAGTGGGGACTCTTGGTTAGCACGCCCGGTGACAAGTCGAAACTCCCCTGATAGCCAGCGCTTTCTCAGTAAGCGTTGACTTCCAACAGTTACGGTTAATTTATACATCAAGTTGGCGGTAATTCTTCACTCAACAACAGTTGTAAGCAAATTGACGGAAATCTACGGCCGCAACTTGAATACAAGTTAGCAATCAAACTTGTAATTAAATTTCCTTTCAACTTTACTACAATTTGACGGAAATACTTGTACAGCAAGTTTTGACGTCTATTTGGAGAGTAAGTTATAGGTAACTAATAGGTAATCGCTCGCTTTGCCAACTCTTTCCGTCAAGTTTGCTTTAAATTGCGGACGTAGATTGACAGTAAGTTATAGGTAAGGTGGCTATCAGGGTCTTGTCAAAAATCGAAAGGTAAGGGAAAACCCTTACCTACCGTGCGTCAATTATTGGGGTCGATAATAACCCTGGGAAGTTCGATTTTCCCTGTTACAATTTGACCAAAGTCGTTAGGTCGCGTTTGTTGACCAGTCTAGGGTTAAATAAGTTTACAGACCTTTACGCACTTCTTAGTTATGTGATAACCTCATAAATTCTTACGTTGTTGATATTGTTACTATGAAAAATTTTCAGAACTATAAGTAAAAGCCGAAACTGAACTTTCAGCTGACTTAATCGCCTTCTCGACACATCATGTCCATTACTTACTTTTTTCATTGCACTCAGTTTTTTAATGGTAGTTTTAGACCACCTATTGATTTTTTCACTGAGCTTACGTTTTTATTTTTATTTATTGATTTTTTTTTTTGGCTGTAACACATGTCTCTTGCAAGATAATGATGTTCTATTTCAACAAATTTTCTTGCAATGATTGCTCTTATTTTGGTCCAGCTAGATTCTAAAGGATTATTTTTATGCAGTTTTTACTGTTTTTACTGTTCTTAGTTGTCAGAACAGAAGAGCATTAGATCCCCTTTCCCCTTAACGACCTGAAACGTCTTATCTCCACTAACATTATCCACTCGAAGGTGATGTACTTTCAGTACGCTCTTTCTTCCCTATTCTATTTTTCCAATGGAAGCATCTCAATTCATCTTTGAATTAAAATTCATCTTTATCTCCGGCTATTGTTGATCCATATGTTGGAGCTTTTCAGTTTCATTTCTGGATCAAGACTGCCTTTTTCATGTCCAACGAGGAGAGTGTGATTGAAAAAATGTCCTCTTTTGATGTTGCAAAAATTTCTTTGGTCCTAGTTTCTGAATTTTCTGGTGACGTGGTTATTCCAATGCTGTCCAAGTCACCATCAATGATAATTCTCCTTCTCCTTGATTTTCTATCTTGTATCTCAAACACTAGTTTTTTATTAAACCTCATTTCATTGAAAACGGTACCTGATAAATATCTCAGACTAATGGTGGCACTTATGGATTGCATACTTTTTATTTTCACCCTGAGATTGTTATAACTTCCTTCGTAAGAGTCTTTTAAGCTTCTTAAATTCGGAAATTTACTACAAGCACTGCATTCGCGTGTAGAAAGTTTTTTGTACTTTTTCTCGTGCATTTGTCTGAACAACTCGGTTTTTGACTGCTTATCAATCTCATTGCGAGACTGCGTTTCTGGAGACTTAAAAAGGATTTGGCCATCAGCGCTTAATTGCACTAGGATGTTCATACGTTTGCTCCGACCTTGTCCGCACCCCGTGAAGGATACTCTTTGTTCTTTTGGATCAAGATACAATATCTTCTTATTTTCAGCTGGAGCAAGTTGACAATCCTTTCAATCTTTATTTTAATATTCTCAACAACGTCTATCAATTCACAACTGTAGACACGTGAAGGACAATGTTTGCTTCTGTGTAAGATATAATGGTATCGTTAACTTCACCATCATTCCGTTCCAGTACACTGCCCTGTAGAATATCAGCATTTAATTGTTAAGAGTGGAGTGAAATTTTTCTTGTCGCACTTGGAATTCTATTTGGCTCAGGTATGATTTTAGCAGTAAACAGAACTGCGCTAAGTTATTTATTTTTAATAAAAAACTCTGATCCCAGAACTTGTCGAATATTTTTAAAAAGTACGGTTTAGTAAGTATTTTTGCTTTTTTAGTCTCGCTTCTAATTCTCCCATTTTGCTGCCTTAGTCGCTAAGGTTGTTTGAATCTTTTAGTTATTTCACATAGCATGCTATGCTATTGCTATTGCTATGCTATTGCTTGCAAGCAATCTGTGGCTGTGGTGTTTGATACTTTTTTATGGTTATATTATAAGCAGTCATTTAGAACGGAAGTATGGCAGAGTCATCCAAGACTTAAGTCTTAGACTACCCGTACAAAAGTTCGTTTTGGCGCGGGTTCGAACCCTGGCAGTTGTTGTTTTTTCAGCAATTTACATAGCTCACTTCCTAACCCTGCTGAACCCTGACCAGGTTTTTTTTCGACCAAAACTAAAAAAATATGACTCAAGAAATTTGTGATTCTTCGTGTAAAAAATTTTCCATTCATCCGATAATAAGTTTTATTGTAATTTCCTTCTATGAAAGTTACTTATTTAAAAAAATTGGGAAATTATTGGTTTCACCCCAATTTTCTAAAATTGAATTATCAGATTTTCACATTTTGAAGCCAGGGGAAGCTATTCTGACTATTTTTACAAGGACGTCCTGATGTATGTTAGGGAAATATGTATTAAAATTGAATTTCCTTTCATCTGAACCACTCTATATTCTGTATGGGATTAAAAATGAGTTTGCCCAGGAAAAAAAAATCTGGAAAACGGTTGATTCTGCAGGCCATCCCTGGAACTTTTCGCTAAGTACCATCCCGAGAAAAAATGATCAAACCTGACCATGCCTGTTCATGTATGATCAGGCCTGAAATTAGACCTGCTCATTCCTGTTCATGTATGATCAGGCCTGAAATTAGACATGATCATACCTGTCCATACCTGCTCATGTCTGAAACGTCAAATACGTTCAGGTCTGATTAGGCCTGTTCATGTCTGAAGGGTTAAATTTGCTCAGGTCTGATCAGGCCTGTCCATGTCTGATCATGTCAGAAGCGTGAAATACGCTCAGGCCTGTTCATGTTTGAAGCATTAAATATGCTCAGGCCTGTTCATGCATGTTCATGCTTAGAAAAGTTAATTAAACTTACCCTACGGTAGGTTTTTAAAGATAATCAAAATACTTTTATTTATTGAATAATAAAATATACCGTTTGATGATAATTTACAAATTTATCAATCGAAATTAATGAACATACACTGAACGTATTCAAAAAATTTTTCTTAGCATATTTGGTCCTTAGCATGAACAGGCATGATCATGTCTAATTTCAGGCCTGATCATACAGGCATGGTCAGGTCTGATCATTTTTTTCCGGGTAGATCTGATCAGACTTGCATAGTCAGAGATGTGATAAAAATTTTTTCTTTGACGAAAAAAATTTTTTTGGTCATCTCAAAATGTACAAAATTATTTTTATCATTACGTTTAAATAATTTTGAAATAAAAAATTTGTTACATTTCCTATGGGATGTTTTGGTCTGCTCTGCTCCTACCTAATATTAAAATCATTACTTATTTTATTATTTAAATAAATGTGATGTTATAATGAGATTCGGTTAAATACATAAATTAGGATTATCAAAATATATTACAAAATCAATTTTTATATTATATTTATGATAAACTTATTTAATACGTTATGTACTTCATAGAATTGTTGTCACGTAAGATAGCACAGCACAGCAGGCGGGAACTTCAAGACGCACGAATATCACCAAAGTTAAGAAGCATTGAGCGTGGTTAGTAGTTGATGGGTGTCTGCTGGTGTTACAGCCGTACAATTATATGTAATAATTTTTTTTTTTTTATTTGAATTCATTATAGAGAATTGCGTATGACTCTATCAAGTACTATATCCATAAAACTAAGCAAAATAATTAATTAAAAGTAACAATGGGCTTTCAGATCTGACCATGACGTGAAATTTTGAAGTTTTGTTTAAAAAAAAACGCTTTTTTGGAATTTACAAAAATAAAAAAAAAAAGTTTGGAAATTCGCAAGTTACAGTGTTTTCAGAGTTTCACACATGACGGACAGGAAAATTTTTTGAACTATTTTGATGTTTTTTTTCCATTTCTATTGCACGAAATCAATTTTTGAAAAGTGTCAAATTATTGTCCATTAAGTTATCTTGACAATAGTTTGCAAAATATATTGATTCCGTGAACTAACAAGACTATAATAATAATAATAGTTGCCGAAATGAGGCGAAAAAAATTTTTCGTGGTGGTGTACATACAGTTGAGTCTCGTTATTAGAGTTATTAGCCCTATTAGTGTCTCTCTCATATTAACACGAGTCTGGTTAAAAAAAAAAAATAAAAAGACTAGGAGTCAATAACAAGACTCGACTGTAAGTATTTAGGACATACTCTTCATTGCACAGTATTGTGCGGTGGTGTGCATAGTTTAGTCACTAATTATCATGTTGACATCTATAAGCACTGTAACCAAACAAAAATCCGACGATTGATCATGCTATGAATTCTTTTAAAACATTCAAAATATCAGAACAGATATTTCCCAAAAAAATAAGTATCTATTACCGATCTAAAATTTAATATTACGGGTCAAGTCTTAAAATTTCAAAAGTGATCAACATAACTGTATTAATTATTCAACACATTTCATTTTAGTTTGGTTAGAAAGATATATTTATAGAAAGACATATATTAAAAAAAAAAAAATATGAAGATAAACGAGAAAAATATGATGTTATTTGCAACATCCGCTACACCTGTAGACAAGGAAGGCTGGTTAAACAAACGAGGAGAACTCAATAAAGGGTTTCAAAAGAGATGGTTTGTTTTAAAAGGAAATATATTATTTTACTTCGATCGTCGGGGTGACAAAGAACCCGTAGGAATGATTGTTCTCGAAGGATGTACGGTTGAATTATCTGAAGATGAAGATCAATATAGTTTTAAAATAATATTTCATGGACCAAACAATCGAAGTTATGTTCTCGGATCCGAATCACAAGTAAGTTTTTAAGCATTGGAATTTCATTTTTCAACTGGTGGATAATAATAATTAAAACATAGGAGTCTACAGATTAATCTTAAGTTGCATGTTCATGAAAGTTTCTCAACTTAACTTAAAGTGAGTAAGTTTTCAAAAAATAAACAAAATCTATTTATTTTCATATTTTTAGAGAGTGTTTGCAGGCTTATATATGAAAACAATTTTGTAGACTGTTAAAAAAATTATTATGTACATCATATACTTATGAAAACTTAAAAACAAAAAAATACGCTTTTGTAGATTTTGATTAAATCTACAAGAGCATTTTTTTGTTTTTTATTTTAGCTACTTTTTTAATTTTTAAAGGCCAGTTTTTCAATTCGAGATAAAATTTTATCCAGGATAAAATTATTATTGCCAATATATTTATATATCATCATCATACTAATAAATAGAGAGCCGGTTTTTTTGTTCGGTTATACTGCGAAAACTACTGAACCGATCGGAATAATACTTATACCATAAGATACAGCGTGTTTCGGAGAAGGTTTTAGTATATGATATGGTGGTGATTACTTATCCGGAACCTATATTTTTTTGATTTAAAAATAATGAATTTTCATTGTAACTAAATTTATTCTATTTGATTGTTTTTTAACTTTCAAACTTTCAATGCTCATTACAAATTTTTTTTGGCACGCCGCATAGCGTGAAGCGCGTGAGGTTGTGCTTTATACTCGACTCGTCAACGTCAAGCAATTTTTCATTATACCTCGGTCGAAAATACGCATCTTTTGCACCTACTGTATTTCGATTCAGAAAGTTAAAGATTGGTAAAGCTACACATTCACTCTCTATAACAGCGGGAGCATAAAATGTTTTCGTTACCGCGACTGATATTAGTCATTTGTTACTAACTATGTTTTGTTTACGCTGATCATTTACGATTGATGGTACAATACAATTTGGTTACATTTCTTTCTTTCTTCGACTTACATGAAATAATTTATGTATAAATGGAGATATATATAAAAATATAACTGCCGTAAGAGTGAGTAGATCATCCGATGTAACTTATAACCAAATTGTACTATACTAAGATTTAGTTTGACAGTGACGTGTGTAAAATTGATCAACTTTATTTAATTACTGAATTATTTATAAAAATGTACGCAGAAATAACTATTTAATTTGATTTTTATTAATTATTGTTAATTTTCAGAAAATATGCTCGTTTTTTTTTTATTTTTAACCGAGAATAATCTTTATTATGTTTGTTGAATTCAAGAAATTTCCGTTATATTGAATCTAAAAATTTTTCAAAAAAAATATTTATTAATTATTTTTTATTTGATTTTACATGAATTTTTTTTATTTGATGCATACATACATATATACATACATACATACGGACATACAGACATCATCGCGAAAATATTCAGGGAAGCTTCCTTGAACCTTAAAACGTCGAAATCTGGTGAAAACTCGATTTTCGAAAAACGGGGTTAAACCAATAACTTCCCGATTTTTTTGAATTTTTAATTTTCTTAGCGGGAAGTTAAAAAAGAGCAACTACAAAAATTCGATATCTTTTGAACAGGTAATCAAATAAATCTCAAAATTGTCTAGGAAGAATTTCCATATAAGAACTGAAAAATGTCAAAAAATTGAATTTAACAATGAAAAATGATAAAAAAATCCCTGCTTATATCACTAATATATATTCACATCCAAATTTTGAGACTGAAGAAAATGATATTCAATATTTTTTACAGGAATCAATGGAACAGTGGATGAAAGCACTAGCTTGCGCCAGTTATGACTATATAAAACTCATGGTAGCGGAACTTCAAAGACAATTGGACTTGGCTGCAAAAGAAAGCTTGAAAGGTGTCTCGGAATCTGAATTACCAAAACCGCCTCCAAGAATGCGACATAACCCGTTCAATAGACCTGAGTTTCATAAAAGATCTCAAAGTGTGAAATCAGCGCCCGGAAGAACAGAAAATATTCCTAGAAATAAAGTTTCATTTCGAGAACTACATAATTCCTATGGTCGACGAGTACTTGCCGATATAAACGATTGGAGACACCTGAAAAAGTGTGCAGATATGCCATTAATATCCCTTTAATATATATACGAATGAATCAATTATATTTAGAGAATTATCATAAAATGTGCATGGTTTGTCATATTCTTCCTTAGTATTTTTTTAAGGATATTTTTTTCTTAATTGGCATAGTTTGAAAAATCGTCTATAACAGTTGGAATAAAATTTTTATAATATTTTTTAGTTAATTATTACGGATTTCAGAATGATAATATTTATCCAAAAAGTATGCTGTATTTAAAATATATTTTTTCTTATTCGTTTACATATTTCAATACCTGTTCGTATAAATTATTTATTTAAAAGAAAATACTAAGTTTCTATTCATTTTGAACAACCAAGAACAACGATTTGAGACCAATTTAATTACCCGTACACAATTAGATTTAAGAATTGGTGAAGTCCGATCATTTACAACATATGATTAAAATCACGAGAAAAACTACCAATCATAATGATGAGCGAGCTACTGGCAGATTATGTCTATTTCACTTCTATTAAAACATTTTTCAATTATATACTGTTTGTCTTTTTTGGATTTCACGAAATTTGGGCTTGACCGCTAACTTCGAAATTTTTTATTATTAATATCAGCCAAAAATTCAAAAGAACTCGTGTTTCACTTAGATTTCATAGAAATATATTTCATTGCATCTGTCCTGATGAAGGAACTTTTGAAGAATTTTGCCATACAACGACTCAGCTCGTCAAGCTGATTCAAAAAATTTACATAGTTCTAAAGTTTATATATGGGTCATTCCACCAAATAAGAACATTTTTACGGGGCGACCCTCGCGGATTATGTTTAAAATTTATGGAGGTGTTCTCTATCATAAGACGAAAATTCCCTGAGAGTTTTAGCTCTTAATACGCAGCGGTCTTGAAGTTATGAATTTTTGAAATTTTGGAAAAAATTTTTTTTCAACTTCGTCAATTTTTCTGATATAAAAAACATTTTTTAACAAAATTGACAAACATTGTATTTTGTAGGAAAAATTCTCAGCTTTCGAATGAAAATATTCATTTTTTCATAAACTCATCAGAAGACCCTTAAAAATCGAATTAAAGTGGAAAAATTGATTTTTTTCGGTGTGCAGCCCAAAATTCTTCGAATTTGAATTTTTTTTCTGAAAGCTGAGAGTTTTTTACACAAAATATAGCGTTTTCCCGATGTGCATATTTTTTGTTTCGTCACAATTAAATTAAACGCAAATTCATTATAATTAAAATACTTTTATTTTTGAACTTTTTTGAGATTTGGACACAGTTTTAATGAAAGCACAACCAATTTCATCTTTTAAAGGCACAAAAGTGTGTAATGACTGTGTACTTTTCACCGTTTTCGATTGAGAATATCGTACGTCTAACACATTTTTTTTTATTAAATAATCGTCATTAGCTATAAATTTAAAGTCAACGCTTGTAAAATTTTTCTTTCCCCAGGAAAACAAATCTTGTCGTTTCAGTATATGCTCTTTATTGTTCATTTGTAATGAAGCTCTAGCAGCATATCGTTTTAATGAACCTGCAAGACCATCGCATGGTCCTTTGCCATGGGCAGTTGCAAAAAAATGACACTCAGCGTTGATTTCGAAGTCAGCATAATGATAACATAAGTTTGTAAATGCTTTCTTGTTTTTGAATTGTTGTGGAGCTCCATCGGAGAAGTAAAAGTGGTATTGATGACAGCAAACTTCTTTTTAAGAAAGGCAATCAATTGCTCTTGAAATAAATAAATTAAAACTGTGTCGTGCTTAAGACAATCTGAAATACCAACAAAGCTCAAATGCTTAATAGTATCATTTTCGTTATAATAAATCACCATTGGAAATATAGTAGCTTGATCATTATTCCAATGAAAGCCTTGAGCTGCTTCCTGCACAACGAATGCATAATTTTCCGCAAAGTCAAATACTACGGCGAATTCCCCGCTCTTTAAATTTAGTTTTGTATCAGAAAAAAATCGACTTTGTGTTTTCGCAATAAAATCATGTTTCAAAAGCTTATCAAGTTGCGTCACTAAAGTCTCGATGAAGTCTTCGGAATCTGAAGTAACATTCACAATAGTACAACAGTCTGTTGATGTCCACATTTTGTATTGGATTTCATTAACATCAGATTCATTAAACGACACACGAAAATAATCAACGATTTCTTCATTATTTGGACAACTATTGCACATTCTGGAAAAGCACGATTCTTTTGGATTGTTACAAACTAATTTATTTAATAAATTTTTGTAAATTGGCTGAGATTCTACAACCCAATCGGTGTTTTTCGTAAATTTTAGAAAATTACATCCTAAATGGAATAAATGTAATAAGATTAATAACTAGTTTTAATACAATTATAAAGAATGTCAAATACACAAGTACCTTCTAACATCAATTTTACATTTTGATGAATAGTACATACACATACGACATGTGTACCACTACTTCCAGCAAGAATACAATGAGTAGGCCTCAAGCTAGCGAATTTAGAAAATTCGATTGCCACTGAATTATATTGCGCTTTGAAGCTTTGGTACAATTCTTTTAAATTACAAAGAATCAACTTTTTGTGTACCCTAGTTCGATTTCCATCACAATCCTTCACAGATTTAAAATCTTTCATGCCCGCTAATTGTTTTGAGTTTTCTAAAATTGATGTGTTTTATTTTACTTAGATTCTTCTTCAAGTTAATTTATAGGAGAAAGCAAAGCAACGGGCCCACCCTATGATATAAATGATCCATAAATCATCAAGCGTGTCCAAACCTGAATTTTTAAATAATCTATATATACAGTGCGCGTCATTGATTCGTACCGGTTAAAACATTTTAAGGTAAAATAGAAAAATTAGAATTTTGACATCTGTAAATAAAGAAATCAATAAAAGAAAAATCTTTATAAGCATCAATTTGAACGAAATTGAAAAAATAATTCACTGAAAATAAATAACTCAAAATATCAATCACGATTAAAATAGAAATTAAAAATATTAGTAATTAAAATAATCACACACTTTATAAAATAAATAAAAATAAAATTATAATATTAAAAAAAAGACAAAGATATAATTAGATAATTTTGAAATTTATCAAATATAAATATAGGCATTGGATAAAATAAAATGAACTAAATTCAGAGAAGTCAGTAAAAAGAAATTTAAATATTTATATTTATACAAATATTGATGGTTATTAATATATAAATTCTTAAACAATAGACATCTATTAGTTATTTATGTACTTTGGGCGAGTCACGCGCCAATACGGTCGAGGTGATAAGTATTTTCGGGCCTCGGCTTTATACTATTCCTGCTGCAAATAATTATCACCGAGACCGTATTTGCGCGTGCCTTGCCCATGGTGCTTAAAAAATTTTTCATCCTATGGCGGACGTATGCGGGTTTTTACGTGCAGGGGATACTCAATTTATAAATAAATAGCGTATGACGCCATAACCCTCTAATCCTCTGAATAAAAATACTTGAAAGTCTTGAAGTTAGTCAAAGGTGCGCTTTTTAATTTAAAATGACAGTTGAAACGTAAGCTACTCGGCTGTATAGAGATTGGTGACGCTTGCGTGACATTGTCCTGGGCTGTTGCTGTATAAAGTTCTATACAGCCTAGTAGATACTGGCGCGTACGCGTATTATTTACAAATTGAGTGTTGTCTGCACGTAAAAACCTCCATACGTCCGCCTAGGACGAAAATGTAAATATAGACTAGACAATTTAGAAACCCGTGATTTTAGACATCTGTAAATTTTTATTTATATTGGGCTCGTTAAAATTTACTCAGCTCTTGGGAGATCTTAGCAGATCTTGTACCAAAAACTAAAAGTGACTACATTCTCGCTAATGAATATCTACAAGAAAACAATGCAAGGTATACTAATCTAAGCTCAGTCCAGCTAAGAACTTAGTAAACGTGAACGAGCCCATTAATTCATAAATTCAAATAAAAATATATTAAATATATAATTGCTTGCAATTTACGAGCTAATAAAAAATTGAAACAGAATTTCTATAAGGCCTAGAGCACTAGACCACAACCCTTGAATGTTTACGGAGTCGGTTCTCCAGGAGGTTGCGGATTAGGCAGCGGCGGGATTTCCCGCGCTCCAAAAAAATAACCTAGACATTTTTAAAATAGCAAGTGTCGTACTTATCAGAGTTAGCTATTTATGGAGATTTACGGTTATCCGGGAGGTTGCGGATCAGGCAGCAATGAGGTTCCCCGCTCTCCAAATAATAACGTAGACATTTTTAAAATAGTAAGTGTCGTATTTATCCTAGTTAACTACTCATGGAGGTTTACGGAGTCGGTTCTCCAGGAGGCTGTGGATTAGGCTGCTGCGTGATTCCCCGCGCTCCAAATGAGTAACCTAGACATGTTTAAAATAGTAAGTGTCGTACTTATCAGAGTTAGCTACTCATGGAGGTTTACAGAGTCGGTTCTCCAAGATGTTGCGGATTAGGCAGCGGCGGGATTCCCCGCGCTCCAAATAAATAACCTAGACATTTTTAAAATATCTAGTGTCGTATTTATCGGAGTTAGCTATTCATGGAGATTAACGGAGTCGTTCTCCAGGAGGTTGCAGATCCGGCAGCGGTGAGATTCCCCGCGCTCCAAATAATAACTTACTCTTTTAAAAGAAATCAGTGGAATTTCACTGGTTAAATAAGTGGAAATCCACTGATTCACCAGTGAAATTGTCATTTTCTGTTGAATCTCACCGCTGCCTGAGTCAAAACAACTGTAGTAGTCAATATACGATAAATTAAAATAAAAAACCCGTAAAAATTCCTAAAATAAAAAAATAAATAGTATATGAGGCATTAATCGTTGAAATTTTGAAAATAAAAAAAAAAAATTAGGAAAACGGTTGAACCTGAAGGCCATCCCTGCAACTTCCCGCCAACTCTATACCTAAACGCTTGAAATTGCACTTATGACGTTTTTGAGCTGTTCGAGCTCATAAATACAATTTGTGTGTTATTTTGAACTCTCCGAGCTCAAAAAATAGCTTTT